GTTCACTTCTATAAACCCTGACAGCCTCACCTCATTACAGCTGGAGGTCAGATATTCTCCAAAGGGCTGGATGGCGCTGACCTTGTAGTGTTGGATCAGCTCGGTGAGACTGCCGTACGTCTGAGAGTCTCCTGATATGATAAAGTGTCCGTCTTGATTTTGGGTGATAACAAAATGACGGCACCTGTCGTTACCCCTTGGGAGAAGGCAGAGAGAGGAGTGAGGAGGAATACTGAAACAGTTCAACAAGGTCCAGCTGACATGATTTGCCTTACTTGTAGGACAGGATGTAGCCAAAGGCTTTATCGCTGAGACGAATGAGGAAACAGCCCATGCTTTTGTCCCTCAGGAGATCCTCTGCTTCCCTGCAGCGGAAAACAAAACCAATTGAACAAACCGGCAGTCAAACTGGATTTGAAACACATCGTGAAACTATTCATTTCACTCTTACATCACTCAGAAAACAGAGCTCTATTGATGCTGAATCCAGAGGTAACATTTTTCACGCTCTAAGCAAAATTTCTGGAAGCAGGGACAGCACAGCCACGGCCTTTCATTAAGAGCCTTTGGGTCATTAATGTCAACAGACTCGTAGCTAATGCGCTATAACTTACAACTAGCTCAACTCATTTTTATGTCGAATGCCAGTTTTTAAGAAGGAGCTTTAATCTGAATAGTATGACAACAAAGACTATTCATATTTTACCTCATTTTTGGCTGTGATATTAATTCATATGGAACAGAATTTTTTTTTTTTCCTGAATACAACTCCTGTTCTCCCAAACATATGTAACTAAACTTTTGCTTTGAAAAAGTCATTGAGGTAAAAGTATGTGGGTGCTTTCAGCAAAACATATTTAAGTATAAGAAAAAAAAGCTCTTAGTGCAACACTATCTACATCTCTGTTTTATCCCAATCACTACCAGTTTCCCTCGTCTAACACCAAGTCAGCAGTCCTAACGTGTGTCAGGGGTCGCGGAGTGGAGGCGAGGAAGAAGGAACCCAAACGCAGGACTCGCAGGTAGGTGAAGCCGGGTGATTTATTGTCGATGGGGTGAACACACAGAACAGAGGTAGGAAATGGCTGGCTGGCTGGACGACTGACTGGCTG